GTCGAACTGGTTATCCTTGCGTTTCCACGCGACTCTAAGAGATCGGCAGAGAGATAGGCAGAGTGTGAGCAGGGGCCCAGTTCGCAGTCGAGAAGCGTAGCATCGACGTTTAACCCGGACGGCTGACCTCAGAAATCGAGACCGTCGTCAATTCGGCGACGCGTTACGTACAATTAACATACGAACTCTTCGCTCCGAACTACACACACCACTATGTACTCTCGAAATAAATCTCTCCGCTAAATTTAGATCGCGGTGCTTATCGTCGAATTTAGCGAACGACGACAAAGTCGAACTACGTCTCTGTGTGTGACCATTTATGAGTGATTTAATTGGCGGACCTGCGGTTCTGATAGTTGAAACTCGCCGCTTAGGCTCGTTACACTGTACAGAGAACAATAGGGGAGAACGGGTAAGATTATACCGGGGCAGGTTGGCGTTCAGACATTTTTTTTTGCGACAGTGGAAGGTGTGCTTGTTCAAGCTTCTAATATGACGGTGCACGTGTGCGAATATTACCAGACATCGTGTTATGGGGATTCTTTGTAGGAAGTATTGAATATGCATTTTGGAGGTTTCGAAATTATTTTTCGATTTTAGACGATGATTTCGTTATTTTCGTGATTAGTTGCGTGCCTTTTTTTGTTAAACACGTCAGGACAGTGTATTAGATGATTTTTACTGTTGTCAGAGAAATTTAACCCTTTGCACTCGAATGGCGACTCTGAGGCGCCACTAAAAATTGGTATACTATTTTTCAAAATCATTCTGAGAGCATCAGACTCGTTTATATATTTAAAAAACTATTAAAGTTGCATTGTACTTGCTGCAATAGGCTCAATTTCATATGCATAAATCGCAATAAATTATATAAAATAGAAATACTGTAGATCAGAAATCATGTTTTGGATTTCGAATTCAAACAGCTTCGACTGCAAAGGGTTAATTTTTTACAACGTATATGTTTTGAAAAATAATTACAGCATCGTCATCAAGATGAACTTCGAATATACCGTATAAAATTGATGCGAAACCTTCAGTTAATTTCCATGCAAATACGGAACGTTCTTCTAAAACTAAAGGTGACTAATTTTATTTTGATATTTATTTTTTGTGCGTAGCTTCTAGAAAATCATCGTTGATGATCTATGTCATATAGATGTATCAACATGATTAACGCTAAACCTACCCAGACGAGTGACCATATTTTTGTTTTAAAGTTGTTGAAATTTTATAATTTCAATCATTCAAACAAACGTCTTTTTATTTAGATAATCCATGTCATAGATGTATCAGCATGATTAACGCTAAACCTATCAAGACGAGTGACCATATTTTTGTTTTAAAGTTGTTGAAATTTTATAATTTCAATCATTCAAACAAACGTCTTTTTATTTAGATAATCCATGTCATAGATGTATCAGCATAATTAACGCTAAACCTACCAAGACGAGTGACCACATTTTTGTTTTAAAGTTGTTGAAATTTCATAATTTCAATAATTCAAACGAACGTTTTAATTTTTTATTTAGATAATCTATATCATAGATGTATCAGCATAATTAACGCCAAACCTACCAAGACGAGTGACCACATTTTTGTTTAAAAGTTGTTGAAATTTTATAATTTCAATAATTCAAACGAACGTTTTAATTCTTTATTTAGACGAAATGTCTAAATAAACACAGCCTTTCCGTCGCTATAAAACAGGGGTGTCAAACTCAAAAGCTAACTTGGGCCAACTAAACAATGCTTAACTTTACGTGGGCCGCAAAAAAAAGAAGAAAAATCAATGTTCATAGAAACAAATATTTTTATTTTGACTATAGTACATTGTAATAAACACATATATAAAGTTAAATTATATTGTTTACGTCCTGATACTCGACATGAAAAATGTTCATCTCGGGCCGCGAGTTTGACACCCCTGCTATAAAACAACAGACGTTAGTGACTTTTAGAGCTCGTTAGATTTAGTATTAACTCGTCAACAATCGAGCGATCGGCTCGATTGAAAGGCACAACATGGAGATCTGGGGAACGTGTGAACTCGTTAGCGGCCGCGTCTGGCGCGATTTTAAGTTTCCCGAAGAGCCAGCCGGTCGCCGAGCATCGCAACATGTTCTCTAACCGGGGCGTATGGTGCATCGGTTGAACTGCATCCAGTCGAGCGCGCAGCTGACAACGAGACAACAGCAAGTGGAACTCCGGATATGTATAATGCTGCGAAACGTGTTCATAGAAGTCGGCTGTACAGCGTTCGGCCGAAGTCTACCATGCGCACCCTACTGTGTGATTCCCGACGTGTTCACGGACCAATGATTTATATGCTAATTTCGACTGGAACACGATCTCCAGAGGCCCGTGCTCCGGAAACTTTCACCGTTCTAGAGCTGCAGAACTCGCGAGCGTTCGCCTTGAACGCCGGTCGTTCGCAATTTCGGCTAATTTCGAGATACCGCGGAGATAGGCGCATCCGCTCGCCAAAGGAAACCGTTTTTTTTTTCTTTCTTTCAATAATACCTTCCAATTAGCTCGTTACACTGTCTCCGAGACAAGCGTTCTGCATCGAGTCATAGCAAAACATTGTACTATACACCTCCGCTATAAACAACTTCGAGTGGTAATGGCCTGCTGTTATCAACGCTCGTTATGATATTTTTGGGATACGATAGTATCGCGCGTTTCGATGACTCGTCACGTGTATCGTATAGAATTTAGATCGATAATTCGATGCTACACTTGAATAAAAGAAATTGTTACTTCTATTTAATTGTCCAGAAGATTCTCCTAAGTTATGCAGACAATTTGATACATTTAGTAAAATTACTATTAATTACTACTAAAATTTAGATGGATAATTCGATGCTACACTTGAATAAAAGAAATTGTTACTTCTATTTAGTTGTTCGGAAGATTCTTCTAAGTTATTCGGACAATTCGATACGTTTACTAAAATTACTATTAATTACTACTAAAATTTAAATCGATAATTCGATGCTATACTCGAATAAGAAAGTGTTGCTTCTATTTAGTTACCCAGAAGATTCTTCTAAATTATTCAGACAATTCGATACGTTTACTAAAATTGCTATTAATTACTACTAAAATTTAGACCGATAATTCGCGATGCTACATTCGAATAAGAAAGTGTTACTTCTATTTAGTTACCCAGAAGATTCTTCTAAATTATTCAGACAATTCGATACGTTTACTAAAATTGCTATTAATTACTACTAAAATTTAAATCGAGATAATTCGATGCTACACTCGAATAAGAAAGTGTTACTTCTATTTAGTTGTCCAGAAGATTCTTCTAAGTTATTCAGACAATTCGATACGTTTCGTGATCTGTTGCATCTCCAGTTGCAGTCTTAAGCTGCGTCTTCGTTGAAGCAACAACGAGTTTCCATGCTTCTTGATAAAGTCAGTCGTTCGTTGCCGAATGTTGCTTTAGGTTCCATCATGTTTCTGTGGCCGGCAGCGGAAACAAATGTTCCTCCAGCGTGGACATTTTGTCATTTGGTTTAGAAACGCGCAAATCGTTGCGCAGATAAAAGTACAAAAACGTGCAGATTAACGATTTAAATCTTCAATTAATTGAAGAATACGGGAAGAACGGGCGCCTTCCTATGAAGCTGATAAATGTAGAAATGCGAAAGAAAATGCATGATGGAAAATGAACCGAGTGCTCATCAAACAAGTCTTCTTTCTCAGCTCGCAGCTCGGAACGAACTGACTCGAGTGTGGACGATTTGCTGCCAGGAACAAATGTAGCCGTGACATCGAAACGAAGGCTTCAAATGTTTCTCGAATTACGTTGCTTCGGTGTGGACAAAATGTTTCTACAAGTCGCAAATGTTTCTACAAGTTGGAAACATTTTGGAACATGCAGCAGCAACAAGAGGCGAGAAAATGTAGCTCGATGTTGCCTCGGCGTAGACGCGCGGCCTTCGGCTATGCAACGATACGCGGATCAGAGTCGAATCGCGACTCTCGCAACGAACATTCCGGATCGCGCGTTCGCTCGATTTCTATGCGGCGAAGATCGGGAGAAAGATCTTTGTCCCCACGTGCGTTGTAGCAGCGCGAGAAACGAATGCTCGTTCGGCCGCGAGGACCTTCCATTTTTAGACCACGGGGTCCGGTCCGTTCCACCGAAGATACCGAAACTCATAATTCCGAACGAGCGAATTCGGAAACCTCTAGGGCAGGAGTGTCAAACTCGCGGCTCGGGATGAACATTTTTGATGTCAAGTATCAGGACGTAAACAATAATTTAACTTTACATTTGTTTATTATATAATAAACATATATAAATAAGTATTATAAATAATATTATATATATATAATATTATATTATATTATTATTATTATATTATATATTATTATGTATATATAATATTCATATTTAGGCCCTTTAGGTGGGCCGCAAAAAAAAATCAATCTTCATAGAAACAAATATTTTTATTTATATATGTAATATTAATATAATATTTATATATATATAATCAATGTTCATAGAAACAAATATTTTTATTTATATATGTAATACTAATATAATATTTATATATATATAATATTAATTATTAAATAAATATATAAATAATATATTAAATATTATATTAATATTACATATATAAATAAAAATATTTGTTTCTATGAACATTGATCTTTTTTTTTGCGGCCCACCTAAAGTTAAGCATTGTTTATTCGGCCCAAGTTAGCTTTTGAGTTTGACAGCCCTGCAATAGATGAGCAAATTTATTTATTATAATTTGTTGAGCTCGACACCCCTGCTCTAGGGAGTTAGTCATGGGGCTTACATCGGCGTCTTAGGTTAAAGCAGCGACAACGATGATGGCGGCCGCGGATTTCGTCGGTGTGGATCGTCGACGAGCAACAGCTCGTCCGATCGATCGGACACGACGACGGATCGCGAACGTCGTCGCCAGGGGGGAAGGAGGTTAGTGACGAAGATATAGCGTTGTTTCATTCACCTGATCATTGGAGAAGACACACTTGACGTTAATCCAACGGTGTGCCTTGACGGTGCAGTTGCACCCGTCCATCGCGCATATCCCGGGCGGTGCACTCTCGGCGTTACCAGCCAGAACTACTAGACACCACACGGCGAACACTAAGCATGAGACCGCACGATCACACTTGAGCCCGTCCAGGGCGCTGAACACTCTCCTCCTGGCGGTCATCGTGGGGCCCAGCGAGATCCTCGGGACAAAGGGGTCGCGGATCGATGCGCGTTCGATTTCCTCGCCGGTGGATCCTCTTCCTCACATCGTTCGCGACGCACCCGTTTACCCGTTGCACACTTCCATCCGCGTCGATCTGGATCCTCTTCGATCCGCCGATACTTTCGAACTTTCACATCGGGCCCCGTGGATCTCGCTTGGTGCCGATCCTGCGGGCAGCAGCCGCGTTCATCGGAGGCTGGGATCGAGGACAACGGAACAAAGGGAGCTACTGTGCTCTGCCGGCGGTTTTTCCCGAGCGTTATCGATCGTTCCTCTCGCGATCGCGAGGAACCGGATTCCTCTCTCGCGCTCGGCAACTCGCGGCCGGGGATCTATCTCGCTACGCTGCGATTAGAGGAACGGACGGGAACTGTGCACTCGCGCGAGCGAGTCGCAACACGCGCGCGGACGACTCTCGTTTCCGTAGAGGTGGGGCGACTAGAGGCCAGCTGACGCGATCATGACGGAGGTTGCTTCGAAACTGTGGTCGGTGGCATGCACGATCGGTGTCTCCTCCCCACCTAAGAACTCGTGTTCCTTGGCTCGGCTACCACACGCTCCCGCGTGCTCTCCCTCTTCGGGGCTTTTAAAAAGATAAAAGCCCCAGCCACGGTGCTGCACGCCGGAGGGGCGAAGCTCTTCGGCGCGACGACACCGGTTCGGCCCGGGTTCGCCGTCGCCGTCGTCGTCGGGCCCTGGCCGCAGGGAACCGCTGCACGTCGGACGCGGCGCACCGGTTTTTCGAGGCAGGTCGCCCGGGGTCGGCGCACTTTGTGCCCTCCGAGGACCGGCCTTGACCGAGTTACCGGCGAAACGACTCTGACCATCGCGAAACACGGATCCTCGTGACCGAGGTTTTACGTAACCAGCGGCGGCTCGTGTGCGGTTTCGCCGGAGCAGGTTACGCTCGTCGGAGAGGGCAACCCGCGCTTCGTCAACAGCAACTGATATTATTGGTTCGTCCGTTCTCTTCTTCTTCTTCTTGCTTCTTCTTGTTTTTCCTCGGCGACCGATACAATGTCCTTTGCGGTTCCGACACGTTCCGCGTGATGTTTTGATCGCGGGATCGCGGCGTAATACGCGGCGCCGCAGAAAAGTCGTTACCGTTGGGATAAGACTGTGTTTTTTACTTGTCGAGCTCGCGGAGATCTTCGAGGATTTTTTCTTCTTCTAGATTCTGTTATTGTGCGTAAATGCTCGTGGCACGCTTTTACCGACTTCATATAATGTGATATAATAATATATATAATAATAATAATAATATATATATTATAAATTTGTGTAAATATGACCCTGACTTCTAACATAACCGGACAAGAATCACATTATATCACATCACATTATATATATATTGACGTATCGATTAATTTTGAAATCTGACATCACGGCCAAAGTGATGAATAATATTTTCGGAACGCTTCGTTCTGTTTTTTATTCCTATGTCCAGATGCAGATATATTTCCTAAAGCAATTGCAAATTCAAGAAGCAATGGTATCTACTTAAATAATTATATCTTTGCAACTGAACTAACGACGCTGTACCATAATACAAGAACGCACGCGTGAAATATTTTAAATATTCTTTGTCGGTGTCGTCAAGGTGTGTAGCCATTCCGCGGTCTCGAATCTACGCGAGGTGCGCGATGCGTTTGTAATAATGTCTCTCCAAAAATTACGCGGAAAAAGGGAGGCAGCACGGCCGCCGGTAGGCAAAATAGCTTCTTTTATGACCGGTTCGCAGAAAACTGAAAAGCCAACGCGGCACACAGGGCACCGTAAAAACGGGACGACTCGTCCGCGAAAGCGTCTCTTCATAGCCACGTCGCTTTTCATGGTAGACAGCGACGTAGCTCTTCGCTTTATGAGCAGAAGCCTGGCCATTTAATTTCCCATGAGAAATTGCGCGTGTCCGTGCAACTTCTGGCCTGGCGGCGTCGTCTCGCCCTCTCCGCGTCCCACATGCGAAACGTCCATTCATTCATAACGGCTCTTCTCAAACCCGGAAACACCTGACGCCGGTTGAAGTGGCCATTTCCGAAATGACCACGTGCTGACCATACGTCACATCGAGTTTGACCTTAAGGCCGTCGTCTCCCAATTTCTGCCGAGATATCTCTTCCGTGCGCGCCCCGTCCTCCGGCATTCGATCGCGTTTCACATTCCTTCCATCGATCTTCTTCCGGCTCTTATTACCGGGTCGATCAGTAAAACGACACCTTCATCGAGGATAGTCTCCGGTGTCGTCTCAAAAAATTGGAATCGACGCCCACCGCGAATAAAACGATCGTGATATCGCCTTTCGTGTAACGCCTTCGATATCCCGTGAATTATGTCATTCTTACTTTTCTGTCCCTACTCTGCATAGTTCGTTGCGGATTACTACGTGCACGCCAACTATTGGCAACTAAGTAATTGCCGATTTGTTCAATGAAATAAAAAATTCTTTTTTACTTGGAACGAAGTTTAATCTGTAATGTATTTTCCATTTTGTTCGACGACCTTTTGCCATCTCTCCGACAACTTGAAAATCCCACGCTCGTAGAAAGTCTGATCCTTTTCGGCCAAAAACTGAGTTAAGTGAGATTTTACAGCGTCGTCATCGTTAAAAGTTTTACCACGAAGGGAGTTGTCCAGGGATCGAAATAAGTGGTGATCCGATGGCGCGAGGTCAGGGCTTTATGGTGGGTGTAACATCAATTCCTAACCAATATCCATCAATTTTTGCCGAGTGGACAAAGACGTGTGCGGCCTAGCATCTGTCTCTTATACACATCTAGATGTGTATAAGAGACAGGCCTAGCATTGTCCTGCTGGAAAATGACACCTTTACGATTGACCAATTCTGGTCGCTTTTCCTTGACCGCTGCATTCAATTTGTCCAGTTGCTAACATTCACGGATAATAAAAAATAACATAATAATAATAAGATGTGTATAAGAGACAGGCCTAGCATTGTCCTGCTGGAAAATGACACCTTTACGATTGACCAATTCTGGTCGCTTTTCCTTGACCGCTGCATTCAATTTGTCCAGTTGCTAACATTCACGGATAATAAAAAATAACATAATAATAATAAGATGTGTATAAGAGACAGGCCTAGCATTGTCCTGCTGGAAAATGACACCTTTACGATTGACCAATTCTGGTCGCTTTTCCTTGACCGCTGCATTCAATTTGTCCAGTTGCTAACATTCACGGATAATAAAAAATAACATAATAATAATAAGATGTGTATAAGAGACAGGCCTAGCATTGTCCTGCTGGAAAATGACACCTTTACGATTGACCAATTCTGGTCGCTTTTCCTTGACCGCTGCATTCAATTTGTCCAGTTGCTAACATTCACGGATAATAAAAAATAACATAATAATAATAAGATGTGTATAAGAGACAGGCCTAGCATTGTCCTGCTGGAAAATGACACCTTTACGATTGACCAATTCTGGTCGCTTTTCCTTGACCGCTGCATTCAATTTGTCCAGTTGCTAACATTCACGGATAATAAAAAATAACATAATAATAATAAGATGTGTATAAGAGACAGGCCTAGCATTGTCCTGCTGGAAAATGACACCTTTACGATTGACCAATTCTGGTCGCTTTTCCTTGACCGCTGCATTCAATTTGTCCAGTTGCTAACATTCACGGATAATAAAAAATAACATAATAATAATAAGATGTGTATAAGAGACAGGCCTAGCATTGTCCTGCTGGAAAATGACACCTTTACGATTGACCAATTCTGGTCGCTTTTCCTTGACCGCTGCATTCAATTTGTCCAGTTGCTAACATTCACGGATAATAAAAAATAACATAATAATAATAAGATGTGTATAAGAGACAGGCCTAGCATTGTCCTGCTGGAAAATGACACCTTTACGATTGACCAATTCTGGTCGCTTTTCCTTGACCGCTGCATTCAATTTGTCCAGTTGCTAACATTCACGGATAATAAAAAATAACATAATAATAATAAGATGTGTATAAGAGACAGGCCTAGCATTGTCCTGCTGGAAAATGACACCTTTACGATTGACCAATTCTGGTCGCTTTTCCTTGACCGCTGCATTCAATTTGTCCAGTTGCTAACATTCACGGATAATAAAAAATAACATAATAATAATAAGATGTGTATAAGAGACAGGCCTAGCATTGTCCTGCTGGAAAATGACACCTTTACGATTGACCAATTCTGGTCGCTTTTCCTTGACCGCTGCATTCAATTTGTCCAGTTGCTAACATTCACGGATAATAAAAAATAACATAATAATAATAAGATGTGTATAAGAGACAGGCCTAGCATTGTCCTGCTGGAAAATGACACCTTTACGATTGACCAATTCTGGTCGCTTTTCCTTGACCGCTGCATTCAATTTGTCCAGTTGCTAACATTCACGGATAATAAAAAATAACATAATAATAATAAGATGTGTATAAGAGACAGGCCTAGCATTGTCCTGCTGGAAAATGACACCTTTACGATTGACCAATTCTGGTCGCTTTTCCTTGACCGCTGCATTCAATTTGTCCAGTTGCTAACATTCACGGATAATAAAAAATAACATAATAATAATAAGATGTGTATAAGAGACAGGCCTATAATACTGCTACGACTACAATAATTTATATTTTTACAAAAAATAAATAGCATAAAATAACATAATAATAATAATAATTTATAATATAACATTTACGGATATCATAAAAATGGGAATGAGAGACATCTATAACCGAAATCGGCAATTACTTAGTTGCCAACTCAATATTATCCATTTTTATGATCGTTAAGTCATAAATTCCACGTGACACACGTTTAACAATCTCGAATTGCATGTACGGATTAGTCTAAGGACGTTTGGTTTACGAAATGTTCTAGACAGATAGAGTATATTTATGCGAAATAAAAATTCTCTGTATCGATCGATGCAGCAATAAATTTGATATTGTAGTAATTTCAACACTATTCCTACCACGACCGGTTGAACGACTGTTTTTCAAATTTCGATTAGAATTTCCTATACTATAACGTAATTGCATCGCCTTTGTAACAGAATTCCATCTTTTTGTAATAGAAAGACTCTCAAAGGCTCAATTCTGAAGCTATAAAGTCGTTGCAAACAAAAGGTGATGCAGTTATGGCATCATTTTAGCCGAAAAGTGCCTCCAAGGGACTGCTTTACGACACCTCCAAGCGTTTACAGTTCTCGCTCGCCTATCGGCCTCGCGGTGTTTATTTGCCAGATCGGTATCTGAAATGCTCCAGATCGGTCCGAAATTTCGAATAAAATATATATATATATATATATTTCTGAATAAAAAAAACTATATTTTTATACTGTCAAATTGGATATTATCTCAATTCTATATTAAAAAATATAAGTTGTGCCTGAAGACCGGTTACTTGACCGGTCGCGGTAGGAATAGGTATACGTAAAGTGTCGGTAGATTTAGTGTTAATGACCCGAAAATATAGTACTACATTACATTTAAATTCTTCAAATGTTTTTACTATTTCATATCGGATCCACTCGTTTGTCGTCTAACATGTTTAATGCCTATGTTTATGAGTGTTTTCTTTTTCGGCTTGTTTTTAGGACACGCTGTTGGAAATCTTCGTTTTTTGAATTACGTAACACATATAAATACAATTTACTGAATTGACTAACACATACAGATTAGTAACGTTACTGAATTAAATAATACATTTAAATTGAGTTCAATGAATTAATAAAATAACACGTTGGAGAAACGAAGTTCACCGAATTAAATAATAAAACTCTTATACATTGCTGTCATCGTTATTTATTATTCTATCAAAAAGAATCCCAAAGTAAAACCTTCAAAGCCACTTCAGCGTAAATGGTACATTAAATGGCACCTTCACGGCCACAGATTTGAAACACGAAGCTCTCATAAACAAGACGTACGTGACTTAGCAGTGTGACAGGCGTACATTCTCATTGACGCGAAGACTATTCTCGTCGCATGCCTCTCAGAGTCCCCGGTTCAATTGATTTCAGTGTTTTGATAGCTTCCTGCTGGTCAGCCCTCTAAGAGTCGGAAATGATTTTTTGCGGTCCGTCGAATCGTAAACATTCCACGAAACTATACACGTAATTCACAGTTATCGCTCCAGGCAGATTAACCTTTTAGCCACGACGCGCCACTATAGTGGCTTGCTCTAGTAGNGCCATGAAGGTTTTTATCTTAATTTTAAACATACTGTTGCAACTGTGTTTCTAAAAGTGTGAAAGTGATATCTACTGTATAGAAAAACACATGCTTTTCGTTTCACAGTTGATGCACATATTTAATTAAAGTAGAGACATAATATTTGAGTAAATTGTTACATTGCTGTGCAGAATGAATCGTGACTTCGTAAGAAAAATATGAAATTATAGAATGAAGGAATAGTACAACTTGGATTTTTGTTTTGTTCCTTGTTCTGTTTCGTTCACGTTTTACCCTTTGTTTTTTTCAACCGCCTATAAACCGACGTTTTTACACGAGTACAAAATAATCGATGTACCTTGAAACCAGTGAGTGAGTAAGGAAAAAGTGAATTTACTGTGATGTGCGAAGTAAAATTTAAAAATTGCATTTCGCGTCGTGTCTCCAATTAATTATGCACGGACTTTTGTTCGCCACCGGTTTGGCAACGCGACTGCGACGGAGTTTGAAGGATTCGAAGAAGTCGTGTTCCAGTCGCCTGTCACGAGCGAAATCGGCCGAGGCGTGATGTTACGGTATAGGTAGCGAACTCATCGCTGCAGCGAGCTGCGGAGAACAGAATTGCGATGTGATTGCGCCTTATTAGGGATGACTCCGGCGATGACTCGCTAGGGGAAGCAACGATTGTCTGGCTGGCAGAGGAGCATCGTCCTCTGCTCGTGATTTATCCAGACGAGGCCCGCGGAACGGATCACCAATTAGGGGCATTGTAACTCGGAAACTCGTTCTAACGAGTCGACAACCTGCGACAATCCTCGTTTGGATCCATTCTTTGACCCCTAATTACGCTCACGATCGTCTATTAATGCCTCGTAGCTTCGTCGCACGATTACGATGAATTCGTTGCCGCGATCGGTTACTATGCTATTCGAATGTGTCGGGAGTTCATAAATTTCGATAGATCTCGAGATCTAACGGTAGGATTTTCTTCGCTGTTTTCAGTTGTCACTCGAACGAACGGCTCTTTCTGCGCGATTTCGTCTCCTGCACCGCCGGCACCAGCGGAGGACGTCTCGCAAGGTGGCTGCAGCCGGACAGCTTCGTGGATCCGTTAAAATGCGACGTTCTGTACTCGAAGGACGAGATGAAGTGCGAATGGCCGGCGATCGTCACTATATACACGAAGGACCAGTATGGAGACGTTGTTCACGTGCCCAATTTAAAGGTATGAATATTAGAACCAGCTGTTTCGACGTTGAGTCGAGCATAAATCCTAGTACTATGACGTCAATCCATAAATGATGATCGTTCGGCGCAAGCTTTTTGGTTGTACAATAACTTTTGCAACGATAATTAAATTTTGCTATTACCCTTGTATTTTAACACTATGCCGTCCGCAGGTCTTAGATATAATTCTTTTGTTCGACGTCGGTAAAAATTAAGGATAAATCTATCCAAAATCTATCCTAATCTAAAATTAAGATAAGTCATCCAAGAATTTTCGTACTTAATTCTTAGTTAAATAAGCAAATAATGCTATAGTTAGTTTGCTGCCTTTTAACACCCAAGAAATATAGTTCAAATGTTATTTCAGTTTTCGAAAATGGCACCAAAGTGGTACCACCGGACGGCATAGTGTTCAAATAGAATATTCAGCATGGCCTTTTTTGTTCCAAGATCGTTGGTTTCGAAGGCCAGCAATCGCGCGATCATGTATTACGAGATTAAATATTAACGCTCCGATACAATCATCGAGTTTATTTTTTTATTTATTTTATATATTTTTGATATTTGAAACTGGAGCGTTTATCGAACGTTGAATTGTACGTTATTATCGACGGACTTGATCGTTCAAAATCTTGCGCAGGTGGAGGTAAAGGCGGTCCCGATCGAGAAGACAGCTTTAACGAACTCCGAGCAAGGGAAAGAAATTCGACGAATCTCTCAGCCGGATCCGATGACGTTCGGCGGACATCCTCAACCTTCGCTGGACGTACCGTACGAGGTCACGGTTAACAACAAGACTTGCTTCTACGCGATCACCATTATGAAGGCTTATCAGAACTATTCCTTCGAGGAGCTACGGTACATGTCACCGGCCATAAAAAGGGCAAGCGAGAGCATGCTGGTCAGACCTAATGGTGATGGAAGCTACAGTGCTACCTGGACACCGTCGTTTGTCGGATGGTACTCCCTAATGATCACAGTGGACGGATACAACATGGAGGACGTGAGTACTCGACTCACGCCATATTTCAACAAATTAATCTGTAACATTTTAACGCTTGCCCGTACTTCCGACATGGCTGTAAAAAAGATTCTCGGACGATATTTTAGCCATTTTCACTTTATACAATTGTATTGGGTTGGCAACTAAGTAATTACCGATTTCAGTTATAGATGTCTCTCACTCCCATTTTTATGATATCCGTAAATGTTATATTATAAAATTATTATTATTATTATTATTATGTTATTTCTTATTTTTAATGCCTTCCGGAAGTATGTTTCTTGAACTACTCTTTGTAAAAATATAAATTATTGTAGTCGTAGCAGTATTATAGGCTTCGAAAAATATATCCAGCAGTGTAATTTTTTCCGGGAATTTGTTTATTTTAATAACGTAACTCACTTTTCGTGAATTTTATTCTTACGATTCTCACTTTTACAATTTATTCAATTATATTTTCAATCTTTCTGACTATTGCAATGGATCTTCTCCATAGATTACCCCTGATATTAAACATACATTTTTTTATGTATTATTATTAGTTAGTTACGCATTTCTAACAAAACAATATAGATGAAATACAAAGTACCGAAGCGTCAGGTTTTTCAAAGAATATACTTTTAACAAAGGAAATTTGTTATTTGACTGCCGCCTGTTGCAACCGAGGTAGAAAATTTTTCGTCTACATAAAGATGCGCTGGCTAATTGTTATGCATACTATTGGGTTGGCAACTAAGTAGTTACCGATTTCAGTTATAGATGTCTCTCATTCCCATTTTTATGATATCCGTAAATGTTATATTATAAAATTATTATTATTATTATTATGTTATTTTTATTATCCGTGGATGTTAGCAACTGGACAAATTGAATGCAGCGGTCAAGGAAAAGCGACCAGAAT